CTGTGGAGCACCAGGCAACACAGTAGAGGCAACACGGCTGCGCAACGCCAAAAACGACTACAAGGAACGATATGGCACGCAGGACAAGCAGCGCGGCCGCCCCGGCAACCGTGTCATGAAACGCAAGGCAACACAAGCAAGGCAACCATACTGCAAGGGACGATAGTGCAAGCGGACCAGCAACTCCGCAACCGTGGAGCGAAGCAGAAGGCAACCAACCAACAAGGCCCGCAAGCAGCAAACACGGAAGGCACGACCAGCGGAAGGGCAACAAGGCAGCGGAGCAGCGAAGCGCAAGGCAACACCAACAACACGGCCACACCGCAAAGCGAACACATCAATGTGCAAAGAGCCACATGCGAAGCAAGTGGGACAGGCAGTCGGGCAGCGGCAGAGCGCAAACGAGGACGTCCACACATCCAACACGAAGCAAAGCAGCGCATGACTAACTCACATCATGGTTGAACCCCATAGACTGTTGGTTCCCACCACCCACTAAGCCAGGAAATCACTCCGACGAGCATCTGTCATCACCCATAGGCAACACAAACATCCCGAACAGAGCGCCCCCCCTAAGAGTGCAGTTGGCACTCCAAACTAGGAACCACCGACTGTTTGGCACTACTTAAGGGTGTTCAGTTGGGCACATAAAGAAAATACTTGGAAAAAATCAGAGGGAGGACAGACAACAAGAAAAAACTGACAAACATAAAACTGATTTTGTGTGTGTGTGTGTGTGTGTGTGTCACTGTGTGTGTGTGTGAGTGGTGGTGTAGGGGGGGCGACCCCTCCCCTACCAATAAAAAAAAAACGCGTAATTTTATTTTTTATGTTTTTTCCTTTTCACTTTTCTTCACGAAATCCACCCCGCCCCAAAATTATTTATTATTATTATTTTTTTCTGCGAGGGGGTGGGGCGGGGTTTGGCAACCCTGATCCACTTCGAAAGCCCCCTCCTCCTCCCCTCCCCTCCCACGCGGCCGCCAAGTCCCACGGTCGCGCAGCCATGGCTGCGGGGTCATGGCCCCACCCATGGCCGCCCACGACTGCCTCCGTGGGAGATTCATAGTGTACATATGATCGTACAGCTGTTCCTACTAGCCCGTATGAGCCAGTACGACGGGGCAGGGGGAGGTGGAGGTGGTGTGTGTGTGTGTGTGTGCGTGTGTGTGTGTGTGTGTGTGTGTGTGTGTGTGTGTGAGAGAGAGAGAGAGAGAGAGAGAGAGAGAGAGAGAGA